GAGAGAGAGAGAGAGAGAGAGAGAGAGAGAGAGAGAGAGAGATGTTCTGCGAAGGAAACGTCGAAATTAAGAAGATGAAGCACTGCAGAGAAACAGCTCACCACATGGCAGCGCAGTTTCGGCTGTCGTTCAGCGATACCTTGGCGGAAATCAAGCAGTGCTCTTGGCCCATGTATGCCATTGTAAACCACTACAACTCTCCGTGGTTTACACTAGCACTTTTCCCGATGTATCTGACCGCAATTGCCGTCGGACATGGATGTAGCTGGCTGCRATCACGTCCGAAGCTGAGTCGAAAAAGTCTTAGTGTGAGTATGCCCTAAAGAAGATCGACTGAACGGGCACGTGATGCTATTTTTGCCTCTACGCTGGCGATGTCACACTCGGCTGTCAATAGCTACCAGTAGTGGGATTAGGAGGCATGCCACACTTAGCATATTCTTTCTTTACCAGAGGCAGCGTGGAAAGTAGATTGTATAGTCGGAGCCTTCTCTCTCTCTCTCTCTCTCTCTCTCTCTCTCTCTCTCTCTCTCTCTCTCTCTTTGTGTGTGTGTGTGTGTGTGTGCGCGCGCGCTTTGTCTATGTTATGTCAGGAAAAAAAAAAACAACGTCAGTGCTTTGTAGTTAAAAAAACGTCAGTGCTTTGTAGTTTGTACGACTGTGCTATAACCGTGCTGAATCTGCTGATGGTGGGCGATACCGGCCAGGGGTCGGCCGGTATAGCGCATCAGGACCGAGCTTCTTCGATGGGCCAGTCGCTGTGCCTCCCCTCCGGTGGTGGTCCCCTCCCCCCGTACGAACGTCAGCGCTCTCTGCTCAGTGCCGCTCGGGGGGACCAGCGGTCTATCCCTACTACCGTCTTCCCCCAAATAGAACGCCCGGTCATTCTACCTGTATCTGGACTCGAAATTGTACCAGATAGATACGGCTATACTGACCGGGCGTTCTATTCGGGTGAAGAGGGTAGGTAGCGGGGGCCACGCTTGCCAAGGAACGTACATGAGCCCAAATCAATTGGGAWTGGCACGGATTGAACCCRAGACCTCCTCCGGCATGTCACTTGCATGGCTTACCACTTACCAACTGAGCTGGGCCGCTGGATAATCTGACACGTGTAATGCCACGTCATCTCTCTGTTCGTTTCGTGCCTTTTKTTTTYTKTTTTTGGGAAAATTTTCGAAATGCCCCTGAAGTTTGCATTTATTTGTGATTTGCCCCTCTGACGGCCGACTTACCCTGATTTGCCCCTCTGACAGTGATTCAAATTTCCAAAAAAA